GTGAAAAGTGAAATTCAGTGTGAAAGATTCAAACATGCAGATCAGGGAAATGCCAAACCAATAAAGTCACCTGAATCTGAAAGAGAGTTTGATTGTAACTTCTTAATGAACACAAGAATACACCACTTAAAGATTTTCTTTCATTACAGAACTTGTTACATACCATGGATAAGTAAATATTGGTTAAAGTCAGCCTTCCTCTAAAATGACATCTAGGTAAAATCCTAGTATACAGTGCAGCCTTGGCGCAATTTTGAAAATTATCGCCAACACCAAACATGATCCAAAGAACGTCTATATATATACTATATACTATAGTGTATATACACTATGTACATAGTATATACTATGTATATATAATATATACTATATATATTCTACGAATGACCTGTTTACTACTCATCGTATATGTCCCGTTTTTACTGCTCATCATCAAAGTCGCCAAATCCCGTGTGCACCGGATACTAGGATTAAACCGATATCTTCTTATACTTGAAGAAAAATAATTGTTGGCTGATCTTTAGAATATGGTAACTGGTAGTTTGGGGACATTTTGGAGGCGATAAAGGTTACTACCTAGGACTTTGGTAATAACGTGAGCAGTACTCAGTTCCGATTACACATTATTTTGTATGAGGGAAATGAGAGATCATGGGATATGTCATGTGATATTAATGGAGGAATTACGGTTCTTTAATCAGAAAAGGGGGGAAATCGGGAAAAAATCTGGAAATTTTGTATTTGCTTTATTCTGTGTTGTGTGAAACAGTGGTTTGTTAATTTTGGATCCCATGGCCCTAACTAAAGTGAATCGAAATGGTATTTAGTGGGATGAAAGGGGTAGTAATAGTGTTTTTCTTCAGGTTGTGCGAGATAGAAGTAAGATGTTTTATAAGTTATTTTTTACCTGGTACCTTGCTGTGAACTTAGTATGATTTTAAAGATCCTGAAACAGAATATAAAAAGTTTTATTAGACCTAATCCCGATTCTGAAGAAGATTAGGTAGTTAGTATTTTTAATTATTTGAGGTATTATTTTTATGCATTGTTCTAAATGTAAGGTGGAAGTAAAGTATTGGTATTATTGGGAAAATTGTTATTAGCAATGATTTAGTTTTAAGTAATTAGATTGTAAAGCTAATTTTTATTAATTTAATGTATGTGCTTATTTATTTTTAAGTCGTGTTTTTGAATTTAATTATATTTTAATTAAATGATAGTTCTTTTGTGAATTTAGTTTGTAGGAATTTGGGTATACGTTTTAGTTGAAATAACGTGCATAGAAATAATTTAAATATTTTGACACTATTATTGTAAGTTTGTGTATGAATTCGTTGGTGACTTTATAATATAATAGATAATTTAGAGGTAAAACTTTTTGGATATTTATTTATTTTATACATGGAAATGTTCATATTTGGAAAGGGTATATACTTTTCGTTATTAGGTAATTTCATATATGTTCTTTTACCGGGTTTAAAGATACAGAAATTGTCACGTATTTTCGTGAAATTTTTCTATTTATGAGAAAAAAGCAGTGTACATGGTATAGTAAAGAGTGTGCGCAATGCCATTTTGTGCAATTTTTGGATGTTTTTTAAGTAAAACTAAGTCGACGTGTACATGGTTTATGTGTATGTGTTATTTTGAAAAACGCGTAAGGAGTATGGTATTGTTCACTTTTTCCCAATTTTCCAGTGAATATTTGTCATGATTAAGCAGTTTTGTTAGATAAAATTTCTAGCATAAGTGTAATTCGGCCAGTAGATTGTTGGAAGAAGTGTTCAGTAGATAAAAAGAAAAGAAACATGTCTTCCCGGCGGCGGGAAAAAAAAATAGAGGGTTGCTGTAGGAGAGTTGGTCGCCAAATTACCATAATGTAAAGATCAACCAAATTGTTTATTACGCATTTAGATCAAATGACAATACACTCTTCCCAGAATGAGATTTCTTTACCGAACACAATACTGGAGTGAAGCCTCATGTTCATGATATATGCAATAAATCATTTAGGAAGTGCAGTAAGGACTTATAATATAGCCTCTCCTGAAAAGACACGAGGCATTTGTTCCTGGGGCTTGGATACCTAAGGCTTGAATGGAGATTATGCTCTTCTATGTATAAAAACTTGTTTTTTTTGGCTTATCTTTGGAATATGGTAACTGGTAGTTTGGCGACATTTTGGAGGCGATAAAGGTTACTACCTAGGACTTTGTTAATAATGTGAGAAGTACTCAGTTCCGATTACGCATTATTTTGTGTGAAAGAAATGAGAGATCATGAGATATGTCATGTGACATTAATGGACAAATTACAGTTCTTTAATCGGAAAAGGGGAGGAATTTGGAAAACTGCAGTACTATATTATTTTGTATTAAGCTTCATTGTGTGTTGTGTGAAATAGTGGAAGTATGCGTGCCACTATGAAGATTCTGACGATTAGGTAAGTTAGTATTTTTAATCATTTGAGATATTATTTTTATGAATTGTTCTAAATGTAGGATAAATAAATTAATATGGTATTATTGGAAAATTGTTATTAGCAAAGATTTAAAGTATTGTAATCTATTTTTATTAATTTAATGTATTGCTTATTTATATTTTTAAGTATGCTTTTTAATTTAATATATTTAATTTTAATACCGGATTTTGTGAGTTATATTTTTGTAGTATTTGGAATACGTTTGAGTAGTATACGTTGAGTATTTTCATTCATTTTTCGTGAAATTTTTCTAATTTATGAGAAAAAAGCAGTGTACTGATATAGTGAAGAGAGTGCGCAATGCCATTTTTGTGCAGTTCTGGATGTTTTTTTAAGTAAAAATAGTCGACGTGTACATGGTTTATTATTTTAATTAAATGATAGTTATTTTGTGAATTTTATTTGTAGGAATTTGGTTAACGTTTTAGTTTGAATAACGTGCATGGAAATAATTTAAATATTTGACACTAAGTATTTGTAATGCTTGCAGTATGAATTCGTTGGTGACGTTTATACAGTCAAAGTCTTAATTCGGACACCCATAATCCCGGACCTCAAAGCTACCAAAACTTTCTGCGCATGCGTTCGTTGACTCATGCGCGTAAGACCTTTACCGCTGCTATTTGCGTGTGCGCGTGCACAAAATACGTTTACGAATGCGCGTTTAATGTATAACGGACGGATAAGCTAAGCTAAAATTATCTAATTATCTATTTCAGTTAATGTTGTAGATTGCGTTGTTCCTTAATCTTCGAATTGGATCCGATTATTTTTTTCAGACTGGTTAGCAATTTTATAAAAGTAAGCTTGAACTTTCGATTATGTCAAATAGATTTCCGATATATATTTACTAATATGTAAATGATATACAAACGAAAGTATCTTTCGGAGTCCATTAACCAAAAAGTGGAATTGCTGCAAAATGATAAAGTTTATCTAACTTTAACGTTTGTTTATCTAAACTTTGTTTATCTTTAACGCCGCCGCGGCGTGCTGAATTGGAAGTTGATCTGTCAGCACTATCCTTATCTTAAGGGCGATGTTTTTATTTTATTTGGCTTATAATTGCTTACTCATGTAGTATTTCATCTTGCCTTTGATATGATTTAAATCAAATGCTCGTCATTATAATTCGCTTCCGATAGCGAAGAAAGTAACAGAGGTTACTGAAAACGAAAAAATTTCGATTGACAAATTAGTCGGTATTCTCGACACAGCAATTATAGGACTTGAAAAGCGGACTTTGTAACTGACAAGAAATATGTCTGTTTATGGAATTAAAGAGAATGTATTATCACATAAAAACGAAGCAACTTAAACAACTACATTGAAAGAAATGTTAAATAAAGTAAACAAATAAATATTAAGCTTTTCTTTTTTTGTAAATTTTGATACCCTTTAGATCATAATTGTTCTTTATTTCGTAAATTACGGTTTCATATTTTTAATTTTATAATTTCTGCATGCCATTTTACCAGATTTAAACTGATGATCTATAATCCGGAAAAATCGATAATCCGGAATCGCCGAAGTCCCGATGAGTCCGGATTAACGACTTTTGACTGTAATATAATAGATGATTTAGAGGTAAAAGTTTTTGGCTATTTTATTTATTTTATATGTAGAAATGTTCATATTTGGAAAGGGTATATACTTTTTTCGCGATCAGTATTTCATATATGTTCTTTTTACCGGATTTAAAGATTCACAAATTTTCATGCATTTTCGTGAAATTTTTCTAATTTATGAGAAAAAGCAGTGTACATGGATTAGTGAAGAGTGTGCGCAATGCCATTTTTGTGCAAATTTTGGATGTTTTTTTTAAGTAAAAATAAGTCGACGTGTACAGCTATAGTGATATTTTAATTAATGATAGTTATTTTGTGAATTTTATGTTTGTAGGAATTTGGTGTACTTTCAGTTGAAGTAAACGTGTATGGAAATAATTTAAATATTTGACACTAGTATTCGTAACCATTTGTAATGTTTGCGGTATGAATTCGTTGTGACGTTTATAATATAATAGATAATTTAGAGGTAAAAGTTTTTTGATATTTTATTATTTTATACGTGAAATGTTCATCCTTGGAAAGGGTATATACTTTTTCGCGATCAGGTAATTTCATATATGTGCTTTTACCGAGTTTTAAGATTAAGAAATTTTCCTGCATTTTCGTGCAAATTTTTTGTAATTTATGAGAAAATAGCAGTGCAGATGGATAAAGTTAAGAGTGTGTGCAATGCCATTTTTGTGCAATTCTGGGGTTTTTTTTAAGTAAAAATAAGTCGACGTGTAAATGGTTTATGTGTATGTGCTATTCTGAAAAACGCGCAAGGAGCTTGTGATTGTGCACTTTTTCACTGTTTCGCAGTTAATATTTGTCATGGTTAAGCAGTTTTGTTACATAAAATTTCTAGCATAAGTGTAATTCGGCTAGTAGATTGTTGGAAAAAGTGTTCAGTAAATGAAAAGAAAAGAAACATGTCTTTTCTTCGTGAAGACATGGTGGTGAAAAAAAAAAAAAATAAAGGGTTGCTGTAGCACAGTTAGTCGCCAAAAAATCGCCAAGTTACCATAATCCAAAGATCAAACGTTTTTTTTTTTTCCAAATTTCTGTGCTGTCAAAATGAACTGTTACAAACATAATTTATGAGGTTTTTCGACTCTACGACTAAGCATGTTAGTTTAAATTACTCTTATACCTAAATAGTTTGTTACATACCTTACACACATGAGATTATCTTAAGTGTGCTTAAGCATGTGCATGTTTAATCCATCCTTTAGTCTATATGCCTTGTTACATATTTCACATACATAAGGTTTCTCTCCTGTATGAATACGCATGTGCTTTTTTAAACCACCATTTTGCGCAAATGACTTTTCACACACTTCACATGAATATTTCTTCCCTGTATGAAAATGCATATGTCTGTTTAAACTAGCCTTGTGCGAAAATGACTTGCTACACATCTCGCATACATGAATTTTCTGTCCAGTATGGCTAAGCATGTGACTTTTTAAACCACTCTTCCATCTAAATGCTTTTTTACATACCTCACACACATGAGGTTTCTTTCCTGTATGAATACGCATATGATTTCTTAAACCACGCTTACAACTAAATGAATTATTACACACTTGACATGAATAAGGTTTCTCTCCTAAGTGATGAAGCATATGATTGCTTAAATCACCTTTTCGTTGGAATGACTTGTTGCATGCATCACTCATACGATATTTCTCTAACATGTGAATAAGCATATGCTGGTTTAACTCCTCCTTTTCTATGAATGAATTTGTACATACCTCGCACACAAAAGGTTTATCTCTTAAGTGAAGAAGCATGTGCTGGTTTAATCTAGCTTTTATCCTAAATGGTTTATTGCATATGTCACAAACATGAGGCTTCACTCCAGTATGGATAAGCATATGCTGTATTAATTGAGCTTTCAACCTAAATGATTTATTACAAACTTCACACACATGACTTTTCTCTTCTGTGTGAATAAGCACATGCACGTTTAAATGATTCTTTCGTCTAAATGACTTTTTACACACATTACATACATAGGGTTTCTCTCCTGTGTGAATACGGGCATGAAGGTCTAAATCACGCCTCCGTATAAATGACTTTTGACACACATCACATACAAATGGATTCTCTCCTGTGTGAATAAGCATATGTGTATTTAAAGAAACCTTTAGTCTAAATGATTTTTTACATATATCACACACATGAGGTTTCTCTTCTGTATGGAGAAGTATATGCTGGTTTAACATCGATTTTCCTTTAAACGATTTGTTACATATTTCACACACATGTGGTTTCTCTCCAGTGTGACCAAGTAGGTGCATTTGTAAACTACACTTTTGTCTAAATGACCTGTTGCATACATCACACACATAAGCTTTCTCTCCTGTGTGAATAAGGATATGTGTGGCTAGACTACCCTTAAACATAAATGACTTGTTGCATACATTACATACATAAGGTTTCACTCCTGTGTGAATAATTAGATGCATATTTAAACTATCCTTTTGTTTAAATGACTTGTTGCATACATCACACACATAAGGCTTCAATCCTGTGTGGACAAGCACATGCCGCTTTAAACTGCCCTTGAATTTATATGACATATTACATTCCTCACACACATAAGGCTTCAATCCTGTATGGACAAGCATATGCTGCTTTAAACTGCCCTTGAATTTAAATGACATATTACATTCCTCACACACATGAGGTTTCTCTTCTGAGTGGATATCCATGAGTTTTTTTTAAATATTCTTTTTTCTAAAAGACTTCTTAGATAGTAAGTTTCTTCCATATATAGATTAGGAATAAGACCTCAATACCATACGCATTTTCACATATTTCACGACAGCTTTCGTGTTCTGCACGAATGTAAAATAGGATGGTTAATAGAAATTTTACATGAAACAGTTCTCAGCTTCTTCGCAATTGCTGTCGATACCTTCCCTATATAACGTCTAATTACTTTAGTAGAAAAAATCTAATGCATATTTGTGCATAAAACATACCTACAGTAAGATATACATATGCCAGCACTTCGAGGAACACCTCACGAATTTTTTTTTTTATATTTTACATAAACTCTTCTGCATCATGGAAGATATACACATATTTAATAATAAAATTACGCAAACATATTGTATACGCCACTTTGCAATTACATTAAATTTTGATTTTCAGATTTGTTAGGCAATGCGCACACGGTATTTTGAAGATGTTATGAGCTTGAAACACCTAAACGAATTTTGCATATCACTGCACACACTATTCGTATTATAATTATTATAGTGACTTGCTCAAAAAATGTACATTTGCGATGTATGTTCACAGAATAAAAGTCAAAGCTGTATGTATAGTACAACGTCGTCAGTCGTACTTCTTTAAAACTCGGCTTTTCTTTCACAGCTTCTAGTCGTTTCCACGAATGATTATTACAGCTGGAGCAAACCGCATGTATTCGTTACTGAGTAACGGGTACATCGGTTGACTCGAAGTACCGATTCGGTACTCACAAATTCATTTCGTTACTCGCATCTCTTCGTTACTCGCATCTGTCATACGATGCGGTTTGTTCGAGTACGAATGATGCGGTTTTCTTCTATGCGAATACGAATGATGCGGTTTGCTGTTCGAATACGAATGATACGGTTGCGTCACAATGCGCTCATATTTTTCATAGATAATTTTGAATTTTTTTGGGCATCGGGCAAACTCTTGTTTACATTATGTGTTTTAGTTGAAATACTATTTAGTTGTTGATATTTAAGAAAATGAGCAATTTTGATAGCGTGAAGCGTTATTTTGTATTTGCTTTTTACTATTGCTATTTATGTTTGTAATTTGAAAATTTAGATGATTCATCTTTTTTTTTTTTTTTTTTTTTTTTTTTTTTCCTTGAGCGTGCCATAGTCAGATTTTATTGATTTGAAATATTTATATACTGCACTTAGGTATTGTTTATATAAGAATATGTAGGTTAATATAGGTTCTTTACTTCCTTGTATCAAATAAAATGGTAGTAATTATTGTAATCGAGAAAACTTTTGGGTATCATATTTTAACGGAAATATCCGTTTTTGACGATTACGGAATCCATGTGAATTATTTTTTGGGCTGACGCCTGTACGTACGAACACAATGAAGGACTCTCTCTCTCTCTCTTTTTTTTTTTTTTTTTTTTCAAAAAAACTTATTGTTAAATGTAATCCCATTTACTCTAAGCTGATACTTATGACTAATGATTATGACTCTAAGTTGATACTTGAAAGGGATTTTTTTCGTGATGTGTAAGTACGTATGTATGCATTTTGCATAACTCAAAAACGGTTAGTTATAGAACGTTGAAATTTTGTATATGGGTCCGTTATAACATCTAGATGTGCACCTCCCTTTTTATTGCAATCGGTAATACTACCAAACGTAAATATGTATATATATATATCAAATAAATTATAATTAAATGTAAAGTACATATATATATATATATGTCCTTATAATTAAATGTAAAGTACACACACATATATATATATATAATAAAAGCCAAGTAAGGCGAAAATAAAAGCTTTGGCTTTTATTTTATTTAATTATCACTAAATAAGTTACTTGACTTTTATTTTCGCAATCATTGGTTGTAGTCAGGACTTAATTTTTAAAATTAGAAGTGCTGGAGCTCTATGGAAGGCCATCAGGAAAGATGAATAAATAAATAAATAAAAATAAAATAACTATTACAATAATAAAATAATTAGCAACTAGAATATTAAATGATTATTATTATAATTCAATAAAAATTTAAAGACAAATGAAAATTTAATTAATTCTTAAATTAATGATGAATAACTAAGTAATGAAATAAAATACCAGACATCGTCTTGTTTGGGGGCTGTGGCTAAAATTGCAATTTAAGAACTAAGCCGAGCATTAGCTAAATTTAGGCTTTTGATGAGCAAATAATGTACTGTTTACCAGAGTATAGATAGAAATTTGGTTATGTAGCCCATTCTTCTAAAACGACGTTTCGTAGCTGCCTTCCACCACCAATTCCTTTTTTTTTTTTTTTTTTTCCGGTTTCGGTTTATTCGGTTACAGCAAAGCACACTAGGGCTATTGCCTACGGGGAGGGAGGCCTTCGTGGAGGATTTTTTAAAGGGAACTGACTCATATGCAAGTTACACACGGGAATAACCAATGAAAACGCCCGTGCAGCTAGCCGTTAGCCGGGAATTGAACCCCGGACCGAACTATTAGTGCTCAGCGACTTTACCGCTCGAGCTCTGGTGGGCTCTTTTTTTCTTTTCATTCGCTGTTTGAAAAAACGGGTGTTCACTTTACGATAAAGTAAGCACCTGTTTACTTCAATTAAAATGGGTTAGACGATATGACTCTTTCCTACTTTAATCTCACTTAGCTTTTGATTTCTAATATTGATTCAATGTTTTCTGTAGACAAAGTATTCTGATTAGAATAATAGATTTCAAACATGTTCAAAAGGTGTGTATCTGAATATAATTAGGTTTTTATAACATAGGGCCCATTTTATTAGTTTCACATAGTTCTAAAGCAATTGAACCACAGCATCGCTGTTTTGAAAGAAAGTAAAAATGTGAGAAATGTATAATGAACATTAATATACAAGCTTTATTAAAAGTAGTCAGCCTTTTAAAACGTGACCGTCTATGCTTTTAGAGGATTTTTGGAGCTCTGTGCATTTGCTCTGGCATCTTAAAAAAGTGATGTTCAATATCAACGTATGTTTATGTTCTCAAAAATACAGGTTTCTTTCAGAAAGCGACCTCTTAGAAGTCGTCAATAAATGATTCAGTATATAGTTATTTTCTAATAGACCATAGAATAAATTTATTTTAACGTCAATTTAAAAATGGCTGCTTGTACTAAGAGTTAAGAGCAATAAGACTCTAATTTTTCTTTCGCAATTAGCTATCATGCCAGCTGAATTGTTTTCTGCATAACCTTTATTGTGTATAATTGAAATATTTAGCTATGCATTCAACAAATATACAACAAATGTAAGACAAATCATTAAAAAAATTAAAATTTGGAACATTAATGATAATTTTTTGTTATACATAAAATATTATTAATGAATGATGAATTTATATCATATTATATATAAATCAAAATTTAAACTCCTATTCCTTTATAATAAATTGAAGAAAAGCTATAAAGTGAATTAATTTTTAAAAACAAAACGAAAAAAAAAAAAAAAATTGTTTCATATACCTAGAATCTAAAAATGACGATTACTGAGTTTTACGACTTATGTGTGTATTTAATTATGGCAAAGAACACTAGGGCTATCTGCCTAAGGGGAATGCCTTCGTGGAGGACTTTCTAAGGGAAACTGGCTCGTATACACGTTACACATGGGGAAAACCACGAAAACACCCATGTAGCCGGACCGTTCGCGGGATTCGAACCTCGGACCGAACTACCAGTGTTCAGCGACTTTACCGCTCGGCCGCTGGTGGGCCGTTTTACGACGACTCATATAATAATAAATGCATATTCATATTGTAACAGAAATTTTGTTAGAAGTCTAGCATATGTATAGTTATTTGTGATCTTTTAAAACTGTCGTAACATGATGCATATTTATCATTATCGTGAACCAAAACAGTATGCTTTACATCCTTACAAATATACGTGATAGATTTTAATATTTATTTCTGCATATACTTACGTTTCCCAAAGACACGAAAGCAAGTCAAGCAGATTTTTGTTGTATTAAGCAGACTTAAGTTCTCTGTTAGCTAGTGTAACATAATTTCGGATGTTAGTGTAACATAATTTCGGATTCTATGAGCCTTCCAGAATTATTAGCAAAATAGTGGAAATGTCTTTACAAAGTGTTTTTATAAGCAAACAGCAGATGTACACTGAGCAGTGATCAACTGATATATTTCTTAAATGATTTGGTTTAGTTGATTATGACAAAACACACTGGGGCTATGTGCCTTAAAGGAAAAATGCCTTCGTAGAGCACTTTCTTAGGAAAGCTGGCTCGTATGGTACGTGGTAAGCTGGCTTGTAAGCTGGTACGGGAAAAAAACCACGAAACGCTTATGAAGCCAACCCGTTTGCCTGAGATCGAACTCAGGTCGGAACTACCAGTGTTCAGCGATTTTACCGCTCGACCGCTGGTGGGCCATTTCTTAAATGAATAAAGGTATACTCATAGCATTATGAAATAACACTGATTGAAATATTTAGTGCTTCACTATTATCTCTAATAAAGTAACATAAAACTTTCCTTACCTTTTATAGATTTCTAAATTTCTTTTAAGTTCTTATTCGTACTTAACCTATACATTTGCGAATGTTTTTATCGATTTTATTGTTAAGTGTAAAAAGCAAGTTGACATTTATAATATAGCATTCCTTGTCTCAACAAATAACAGTCTCAACAAGGAGTTTTTTTTGGAGAGGGGATGAATCGGGGAAATTTCACCCTTTCGTCATTAGCGGTTCTGATGAAGGGAATGGGGGAAGCAGCAAACGAAATAACGAATAACGGACAAATAACGAAAGCTAATCTTTAATGCGGTCTCCCAGTTTCTGTATTTGTATTTGGGAAAGTTTTATGGTCATTATGAAAAAGTGAAAATTTGATATGGATTCCGCATGACTTCCTTCTACGACTATTTAAATTATGCTTATTTTTTCTGCACTTCATTTAAACTTATTTCCTCGAATTATTCTAACTCAATTAAGCGATACCCGAAGGCAAGTTACAAATGGCATCAAACATTGCAAATTTTGAAACTAAATTTCCCGGTCAATCTTTGTCCTACGGGACTCAAACTTCTTGTATTTTTTTTTTTTTTCATAACAAGTATAAAACTTTGCCAGATATAAATATAGAAACCAGAAGACGACAT